CCTCCCTGATGTTACACAGCCTTCTCACCGCCTCCTGCAGCTCAGCCACCTGCTGCAGGAGGTCCTCCACCTGGTCACACCTTTTGCAGGCAGGTCTGTGCCTGTCCCTACCCCAGGAGAAGGGTCTAGGCCCTTCCTGCAGCCTGAGGTCTGCACTGCAGCCTCTCCCTTCAGCAGTTCCGTCTGCGTGGAGGCATCGGCCACCGCTGGGGGAGCTGGTGCAGCCTTTGCTCTCAGATGAGTGCCCGCCATTCTGCCTCCAGGGTCAGGTAGGATGAGTGCCCTTGGCCTGTGCAGATGGTCACAGAATGGTGCCCGGTTGCTGGGTTATGTGTACTTCAAGTCTCCCGCTCGCCCTCCCGTGTACTGCTGTGCCATGCCCTGGTCACTCACGCTCCCTGGGGCTGCCTTTTGTGGGAGTGGGGGGTAGCCGCTGTTGCTCCTGGCCCCGCCCACACCTCATCAGCCGCTTTCGTGAGAGCTGGTGGGTCTCTGCGCTCCCCTGGGGTTTCCCTGGCTCAGGAATACACCGCGATCCCTTGCTCCGCTGCGGAAGGCACCTGCACCGGAGCTGATTGCCTCTGCGAGTGACTGTTGGTGGTGGTTACACCGCATTTAAATCTGCTGCCCATATGTACTCATTTTCTATTTTAGCCAGGTGATGTTGAGGGATACAGGGCAATAAAGTAAAGAAATTTGAAACAGGTGACACTGTCTTCCCCAGACACCTTATTCCGTTCTCCAGACATGTACCTCTTCCACATAATACTTTTGAAAGTTGTGGTTTAATGTGGTAATTGTGAACAACAGAACAACACATCCTTCATATGGAGATTGCTGTCACCTAAAATTGTACTCTGCTAACTTTCCATGGGCAACTTACTATTTTTTTTGAATGCTCAAGATCTGAGTTTAAAAACAGACATTCTGACCTTTTGCTTTATCCAGGTTAATTATACTAACAGTCTGAGGCCACTGATGTCAATATCTCAAGGTGAATTTCCAGGAAGGAAAAGCATCCCAAAACACTATAAGCCATATGGAAAATCCAAAGGTAATTTAGACACTGTGTTCTACTAGTTTAAGTCCACTCTTAACGCTGGACAGATTGCGAAAATTTACTTTTATGGCCAGCCATAGTGCTTCTTTGCTAGAGCACTGTGTGTCTTTGCCCTCTGAGTCAGTTCAGGGTATCGTTTTCTGAAGCCTTAATGATTTCAACCTTGACTGTCTAAGAACACTTCTGTCTCACTGAGTTGTATTACAGCAGTAGAGGTTATTGGAAATCCAGGCGGTAACACCTGCCTGGCTTCAGTGTGAAGGTTGGTGTGTCAAGGTATCTTCAAAGGAGTATTTGCTGTTCTTACATTGAAAGTGAATGTACCAGTACCGCTAAGGGATACAATGAAAGAGATATTTAGCTTGTTTCCTTAGAGCGCTGGCCTTCTAAGTAGTTGCCCCCCTCTACTTCCCACAAATCTTAAGGTGAAAAGAAGTTCAGTAAGAAAGGACGTAAGGATGAGCTGCAAAAGTAGAGCTTTGGCAACTCTTTGGTTGGCTGTATTTCTGGAGGATTTACAGGCTTTAATTTTGTAAACCTTTGCTTTTTTTTTTCCCTGTGAACTGCAGAACTGATATATTTAATAAGAAAACAAGCACTGACAGGAAATCTTATGGTTTAAGCTAACCCATTTTATTTCATATCCACAGTGGGTTAAGAGCACGTGTGTTACCACCATGTATCAGTCAAAGTGTTAACTTCTTGAGAGATGCTAGCTTTACTATTTATAATCGTTCTTATATACTGTTAGTATATCCTGATCTCTCTTTGAGCTCTCTTAGATACATGTTACTTGAGCGGCCTTCAAATGATAATTCCACTGGTTGATTTTTAAGATGCTTTGACAGTGAAGCAAAGTGTAGTTGAATTCAGATGATGTATTAGTTCAAGTGATTAATTGGTTTGAGTCAGTTGTTCCCCTCCTATTATTCTTCAATTGTATTCAGCTTTACAAATGCAGTCAAAGAAAGAAGGCTGATGTTTGCTAACACAGTAACTATGCATTAAATACCATATATATAGTCAGACAAAAAAGGGGCTTATACCGAGTTAAGTTTATTTTGCAAACAGTTGCACCAGTTGCATTTAACAAATTAGTAGTGGTCTGTATTTATTTATTTATTCAGGAAATTCTAACTGGAATCAAGGTTTTTTGTCTCAGTATGAAGAGTGTTCTGCAGATGCTTCTTTTGCTCCTGCTAACTCATACAGTTACCAAACAGATGATGGATCATCTTCCTATGGACTAAGATCTAATGACTCTGCAATGATGTCTGCACTCAGGGACTCTTTTGCTCTTCAGACTGGAAGTCCTGCCGGTGGTATCAGTGAATGGCTGAGACTGTTCAACCGATCTGCTTCTGGCAGTAATTCAGCTGGTGGGGCCTCTTCCTATGAGACAAGTCCAGTGAGTGAGTACTCAGCAGAATATATGTCCAACGATGTGCGAGGAAATAAGCTCCCTGATAACAGAATCTCATATGGCGGGGAAAGTACAAATTGGAGGAATCAACAAGCATGTTCAAAAGCGAGGAGTATAAGTGATCAAGGATTACCCTATCCCAATTCTTCTGCCTCATATCCTTCATCTGGAAGATACTCCGCAAACTATCCTTCGCAAAGCTATTCCTCTTATAAGAATGATGAGCCTGTGAATACTTGTACATCTTCTGCAAATTCTGCTGTTTCAGGAAGAGGTGGCTCCAGGTGGCACCAGGACTCTGGGTGGAACGAGGACTCTAGGTGGAACCAGAGCTCTAGCTGGAACCAGGAGTCTAGCTGGAACAAGGACTCTAGCTGGAACCAGGAATCTAGGTGTCGAGGATTCAGGCATCAGAAGTCAGGCTACAAGAGTGATTGGGGTTCACATCAGTACTCGTTTTCTGGCAGTGGTTCGTACAGAGATTACCAGCAATTCAGAAGCTCAGATAAGATGTTTGATGAAGATGCTGTTGGTCTTACTCCCAACATTTTGAACAGACTACGGGGAAAGGATATACCTACAATGACCAGGATGCTCAAACAGTTGGCTCCATATTATCCAGCACTTCAAAGTAAGATTGTGATTAGTTTTCATCTAAAATGAGTTACATCAACATAGTTGCTTTAACGTAAGCAGTAGACCACGTGTTGCAGAGATAGTACGCTCCATTCAGAGGAGTTAATTTTGCTCAACATCTGTATCAGTTGAAGAATGGCTTTAATTGCCTCTCTGAGGAGACTTTGCCTCTTGACAACTAAATAGAGCTGTGAGTGGGAGGAAATTCTGATAGCACAAAGATTTCCTGAATTGAAAGGTTTATCCTAGGTCATCTTGCTAACTAGCATCTTATATCATGATCGGAGTTTGTACTGTTGGGGTGCCAACTGTGGGGAGGGAATGTATTGGCATAAAGAAGAAAATATGGGAGTGCATGCAGAACCAAACTTGGATGGCATTATAATAGATGAAAATACTCCAAATGGATCAAACACATTGGGATAACAGAAGAGAAATGTTATCAAAGAGCTGGTTTGTTGTATGACAAATTATTTTCTCCAATTATTGTAGAAATATTCCTTAATGTTAAAAATAGTGATATGCTATTCAAAATAAAAGATTCTCCTTTGGAAATAGATTACAAGAGGGATTTAAAGGGAGGTGGGTGTATGCTACTGTATAGCTCTCATTGGGCGTGAGTTTGGGCAAATGCGAACTATGCTTATGGTAATAGAATTAGTTCATTAACTAGGTAGCTAGTTAATAGTAAAACTTTGATTTTAACATTCTCTCTGCTGTATTATGTGAAATAACATGAAATAGAAGTAACTGTAAATGTTTTTATCTCCCCTTTCTAGAACTAAATATTCAGACATTAGTCAATGTGCTAGTAGAAACTAGAGGAAAAGATTAAGGAGCAACAACAGCTGAACTGGAAACAGATGAACAGATTCAAGAATCTCCATCTCTTGGCTTTCAGGAAAGAGACTGCATTTAGTTCTGTGTTTGACTGGTTTTGGAAGGGGAAAGGGGGGTAGGGTTTAATTTTTTAACATGTGAAATATAGCTGGAACACAAACTTGCACATAACGGAGGTGAACATACTATTTTCTTTGGGCTTTTTTAATGTATTTGTTATATCTTAGTATATTACAGAAAAGATCTTCTGTTATTTTTTAAAAATATGTTAATGTTATTCTGTCAGCAAAAAGCTAATAGCCCTTTTAACACCCTTCCCAACTCAGAAAAAAAGAAAGGTTTGCTTTTATCTACTTAGGAAGACTATTCACTGAAAATACAGGTCCGTTGCATGAAAACACAGGTTTACTTTTCTTCACACAAATGTAAGGCCAGTTCAGTTAATTTTAGTTATTTTTTAAAAATATGTTAATGTTATTCTGTCAGCAAAAAGCTAATAGCCCTTTTAACACCCTTCCCAACTCAGAAAAAAAGAAAGGTTTGCTTTTATCTACTTAGGAAGACTATTCACTGAAAATACAGGTCCGTTGCATGAAAACACAGGTTTACTTTTCTTCACACAAATGTAAGGCCAGTTCAGTTAATTTTATAATTTAGCATATTTTTGAAAATTGATACACTACATTTCTGTTTAGACAAAGAAAGGAGAATGTCACAGCAAAGGTATTCTGTGTCTTAACGTGATGCTATATGGGGAAAACGTAATCTGTTCTAGGGGATTGGTATGTAATGGGGCATGTTACTCGCTTTCATTTTTGCAGAGTAAAAAGAGATGCGGAATACATGCGGATTTTTTTTAATATGTTGTTCAGAATGAAATGGTTACAAATGGACTTAAAAACTCATTTGATGGATTGAGCCATACTAAGATAAAAATTCTTGATTCTTTCTACTGGCAAAAGCGTACTAAGAAATAGTAGAACCTATAAGGCAATCAGATAAAATAATAGGGAAAAATAAATAATCAAAATGACATACTAACTGAGAAATACTTACCAGTTCATGGTGTTTATCAGTGGTCCATACTTACGTTTTCTTTTCCCCACACCTCTGAGCCGTATGCTCATGAATGCCTGGCTTTAGATATCTACTTTATATAATCAAATCCAGCTTATATGTGGCTAAAGAAAAGGAGTAAAGTGAGACAGTTTACTCCCCAGTGTCCCTTTTCCTTTTCACTGCTGTGTTGTGGACTATCATTTTTCTTCTCACCCACACCTGAAACAGTTCTCTGTCTCTGTGCTTTAAATACTTGTGCTAATCCAGGGTTAGTCTTCGTGAGCTGTCATACATCTTTTTGCATGCACTAAAACAACTTTTTGGATCTTGTCATGTAAATTTGAACACAAAGGCAACAAAGGAATTGATGATAGAGCATATAAACTCGATTCCCTAAAATTCCTCTTCTGTAATTGTTTTGCTTGTGCATCGGAAAAGATCCACTTACCTTTTTCATTCCTGTTCACTATTTCCTTTTCTCCTTCTCATACTTACTGAAGCGTTTAAGTAGTTCCTAATGGCATAGACTCAGTAGTTGTGCCATACACTTTTATCCATGGAATTACATAGCAGACCTTCTTGCTTAAAGGGGAAAAGCATTATTTTCTACCACAGGTGTCTGCCAGAGTTTTGATTTAAAACTCTCTGGGACTGATCGGGTATTATCTACATTAAAAAATATCAGAAATTATTTCTACAAGTGTTCCTACCATAGGTTTTTTCCACAGAAAGTGTAGTGCAAGTACTATTCTGAAACTGTAGAAAAATGTTGCTAGAAAATGTTACTGCTACAGCTCTGTCAATTCAAGTTAAGACCTTTTCATCTGAGGTGGTTGTAGAGAGCTCTTTTTTTCCCATTTCTCACTCCCTTTGGGATTTTACTGCCATGACTGTATATCCCAGTGGCATGCAACAGCTGGATGATCTCTGCCCAAATTAGATGCTCTTTCTGCCTACACATTCCCTTCTTATTTTTTGTGCTGGGGAACAGTTCCTGTCCCTGCTTGTTGTGCAGGGTCCTACATAGGGGAAACGGTTCTTGCATTTTGAAACTGAGTTGGAGCAGTGACCACGTTAAGATAGGAAATGCTTTTCAGCATTGATTTACTAAGGGTTTCCTGCGCTGTAGATGGCATTTGGAGTCTTGTAAATGCCCTTCGCTTCTCTGTTTCAGTTTTCAGTTCTTACCAAAATCAGTGAAGTTCTTGAGTCCTTGTGCTTAGGGACATGGTTTAGTGGTGGACTCGGCAGTGCTAGGTTAATGGTCGGACTTGGTGATCTTAAAGGTCTTTTCCAACCTAAATGATTCTGTCAACGATGTTGACAGCAGAACTGGAACTGCATCTATACATGCATTTTGCAACTTGGAGAGTATGAAAGAGATGATTGTCTGTTGGTTCTTATACACGGGCACTATCATGTAGAGAATTTTTTTTTAAGCTGGTGGTATCTTGCAGTTATAAACTCCAAGCCTGCCTTATCCCTTATGTGCAATTACTACCAGCAGTGTGTTCTCAGTTTCTTTCAATCGGCTGAGCCAGTTCCAGCTGCATCACTGCTTTCTCCTTAATTCTCTTTTTATCTTTCTTCTTTCCAAAGATCTTCCTAGCTTTGGAAATTAAGAGCTTCAGCGTGCAGTTTCTGTACTGATATTGGCCTGGGGTCTGCCACTTGGCACTCCCAGGTTTGACTGACTTTTGGTCTATAGCTGTCACCTTCACAACTGATTTCAGAGGCTTTTCTTTCCTGTGTCCCATGCCAGCAAACAGGTATAGCTGACTTGTGTCAAACAAGTAGCATCTTTGTTATTGCAGGAACACATTCCTTCCTGGAGTTCAATTTCCTAGTATTCAAATGAAGGGCAAAAAGAAAGAGACAGAAACATCTTCAGGATGCAACTCTGCGAAGGGATTGTTTACCCCTGTGACAGGAGTGATGAGTGTTTTTCCTTTTTTCAGGGCTGTGTAGAATTGTGAGTACTAAGCATCATTGCCTCATTTGGAGGGCTGCTGCGACACCTTCCCTTCCTCTGTAGGGCCAGGTACTTGCAACTCGGACTGTTTTCTTTTACAGGGTCCCTCTCTCAATCAGTTTTTGCCAATGGAGGCATCCACCCCGAGGATCTATCTGCCTGTTTCACTCCTTCCTCTCTAGCCAGCAGCTCATCCTACAAACGTGACTTGGGGGAGGTGGCAGCTTTGCATTCCGTCTTACTGGTTCTCACTCAGTTCAAGCCTGCCACCTTTAAAGGGGGATTCAACTGACGCTAGAAAAGGAAAGCATACATCCAGGCTTCTGACCTGTTTGGCACCTGACCAGCAGTGTCCACAAAGGCACCGGGTAAGAAGACCTCATGGGAAGAAAAAAAAAAGTAGAATGTGCCTTGGAAGTTCTGTCATCCTACCAGTTACTTCTTCAGCAGGATTGCATAAGCCGAGACCTCCTGTTGCTTCTGTTTTCCTGGTTTTGATTCAACTTCTGGCTACTCCTTACTCCATGAAACCTCTTTGCCTTACCTTGCTCCCATGTAGTATAGAACTGGAGCAGAATGAGTCCTCTGCCTGTTCCCGGTTCTCTAGACTCTGGTCTTTCTTCAAGAAACAACCTTCACAAGGTAGGCAGCGATAGCCTGCAGAGCAGCATCACTTTAAATGCTTGCTGTCTGTCGGCACTGAGAGCGCTACACCACAAGCGTTGGCACTGAGGCAAGATTTTTGAGGCTGCACCAGAGCCCTTTGAACCAATTTCACTTCTCCTTAAAAAGCCATTGATAAAAATCCAGACTAGAACATGCTTTGGGGAATAAATGGTCTACTTTGCAGCCAGTTTCTTGGTCTGTGCTGTACCTGCTTTCACACCTTCAGAAGCATCTGTTTCCCACGGAGACGAGCCATTCCAGTCCAGAGCCACTTTGGTGATTTTCCAGCAGTAAGGCTCCTTTGGAAAGTGCTGGAGCCAGTTGTTCTACACCAAGGACAGCAAAGTATAATGAGGTTGGCTGAAAAAGGAGACATCCTTCACAGGAGACAGCTTGGGAAATTTCTCAGGCTCCAGCTTTTTTAGTTTTAGTTTGGCACCTTGGACCTATTTATTAATGATCCTCAGAATGCTTCCCAGAATTACTGCATTTCATTTGGGTGGATGTGTGATCCAAAGGGACGGATTCCTTAGTGGGAAAGGAGTAGGGAAGCTCTTTTGAGCCCAACGCTTTGGGGCTCTTCTTTTATTGTTTGTTTCTGAAGAGAACATATATAGCGATTGTCTCGGCCTTCTGGGGAGGTAAGGCTCAAGCAGTAACTGTTGGAAGTCTTTCTTCCTCATCTTCTTAAAGATAAGTAACTTCCATGGTTCATTCAGGGCTGAATGGTCTCTGACATCGGTCATTATTCCTGCTCCCCCACCTCACCCAGAAACAATCGCTTGTCCTTTGGGTGATGATGCCCAAAGTGCTTTGGGAAAGCTCCTTGTTTCTGTGTGCTTATACTGTGGAGACCATTGGTCTCTCCCCAGATATTTCACACCAGAAAAGCGTTTAGGAAAACGTTGCTGAACTGTCACTAAGGGTTTGTTTGCTTATCGCTTGACAACTAGTAGCAGCTTCTCTGCATGACAGAGGTTTGATAACTGCACAGTGGCCACTTGGCTGTCTTCACCCTGATGCCAGACACTAATCTCTGGCTGAGACACTTGGGAATAACATTGTAACATTGATTATGTTATATTTCTGTCTGTGGACCCAAACCCTCTCTGCATAATCTATTGGAGTACCTGTTTGATATCACTGATGGCATCGGTTTATGTAGAGGCACTCCCATCAACGACAGCTTACTTGCCTGTGTCTGTATGTAATCATGAAATTTGAAACAAAAGAGCATATGTGGACTGCCTGCGTACAATGAGCTGGGGATGGACTTAGGAATAAATCAGTGTTGCTACAGTTCAAGAAAAAGTCTTTGGATAAAAGCTAAAAGTTCTTGCCTATAAACATATCCTGAAGAGTAGCAGTTACATGTAAGTAATCTTGCTGCTTGAGTATTTTTAAGTGCTTTGGATGGCACTGGTGTAAGATTTTCTTAGAGTAATCTAAGAGGACTTGTTAACTTCTCTTTGCATCCTCCAAGTTGCTTTGTCAAAGTTACTGTAGGTGATGGTGCGTGACAGGAATCAGTCGCTACTTTTTCGGCTTCACGTTTTCCACTGAGTCCCTCCCCGTCTGCAAATGGTGAGATGGAGGGTGAGGTTTGACTGTCAATTCAAGGCCACGTCAAATAAGTGCTTCAGCACAAAATGGAAGACTATTGGTGCTAAATGAGCCTACTAAGCAGAGGGAACTATATATCCAGAGTAGTTAGATAGTTTATTTTTGTAGGGAACTCATTGAGGAAGATGCAGTATTGGACACAGGTGCGAAGAAGTTGTATTTGAAGGTGTCCCAAGGATACCCTGAAAGAAGGAGGCAGCTAGAAAATAGATAAGGCAAGGAAAAAAGGCCATTGCTGTTAAGTGGGAAGGACCCCTGAACTGTAGAAAACTAGCATACAGAAATAAAACCACCACCCCCTTAAAAAAAGCTGTACAAAAGTGAAGTAGACTATAGAAGTTGATCTAATATTTTTACTTAATTTTAAATTCTGTATTAAAAATTATTTCATTAAACTCTTATAAAAGTAAGGCACATGCAAAACATGTTGTGCAACTTTTGACTTTCAACACTCTCATAAACAAGCATTATTTTAATTTGGCATTTCTAAAGAGCCATTTTCCCCCATGCAGGATATATGGAAGAAGGTTAAGTTTGACATTGCACCAGTTAAATCTAGATTCTTTGCTTTCTGTACTACAGTAAGCAGAGATGGTCATATCATACAGTCATACAAAATAAAAACCAACTCAAGTACAGATTCTGAAGGTGATGACCAACATACAAAATTTAGAGTGTGAAGTTATATCCATTATAATGCATCAATAATCTTAGTACAGGATGATTTGGCAACTCCAGTCTGTGTAATGCCAGTGTGCAATTCCTAGTTATCAGTGTCATACGATGCTGAAGACCATGGAAAGATATTGCTCATAGGACACTTGAATCCAGCCATCTTGATCAGTATCATATCGTCGGAACACATCAGTCAGCCTCTGAAAAGGGGGAAAAACCCATACATTTTTGTACATCGGGGAAAGTTCAGACTGCCACGTATTCCCCTTGCTACTCAGGGTTCTATAAACACTTTCCGTTCATCCCCTCTGTAGACACTTTACAATCTCGTGCATATAGAGGTAGCTCTTCGCCACATCTCGTGCTTCAGCTGTGTAGCAGATCTGATTCCAAAACCACCTTGTGATACAATACCTAAGGCTATCTAGGCACTTCTTTATAGATCAGACAGCTTTTTATAACTGGCTTTAAAGCAGATAGAATAGAGGTAGCTCTTCGCCACATCTCGTGCTTCAGCTGTGGATCTGATTCCAAAACCACCTTGTGATACAATACCCAAGGCTATCTAGGCATGAAACTGGCTTTAAAGGGGGGGTGGGGGGTGGGGGTGCGAAACAATGCACAATTCTTGTGAGACATTTGACAGTCAACCTGGAGACAGAATCCAGCAAGTACCTTGTCCCTTTCTCATCATCTAGCCAGATATGCTTTATGCATCATTAGCATCTGAGTTGCCTCTAAAACTCCAGAGGTGCCAGGCAGTACAGAGAGTGGACCAAAATAACTACCAGCGTGGATTCACTAACACCAGCTGAATGATACTCCATTTCAAAGCCCTCTTTACCAGAGTTTAAGTTTATAACAAAGTATCATCGGCTTCTATTACAACTGAATATAAAGGCAACTGATGTTTCAGCAGACTTAATGGCTATAGACATGAAGGAGAACAAAACACCTGTATGCAAATAACTTTTACAGGGCACTCCTTTCTCTGCATGTTGCAGATCAGAAGATATCTTAAGATACTATTGCAGTGCTGGCCAGTGTCAGAAGAGCAACCTTTTTCCTATCCTACTAAAACGCAGCTCGTCCACTGCTACAGTTTCCCAACTTTTCCCCGAAGCCTTACATACATTTCAGAAAAGTCAGAGACACTTAGAGAAACCTTAAACATCGTGGTGAGCAATCATCCAGCAATTGATTTCTAGACAAAATAATACACCTGTAGAACTACAGTTCTCTCTCTCTCTTTGTATGTATTTATACAGATGCATTTCTGTTACTGAAAGAGTTTGGTTTTGTTTGTTTGAAATGTCTTTTACTACCATTGCCCCTGCAGGAACAGCAGTGACGAAAGACTGAATAATTCAGCTGCTAGGTCAAATTCCTTTTAGTCAGAGCCTTAAACAGAGAGAGAAACAAAAAGAGACATGACAAACTCCAGTTTTAACACACCCAAGACCCAGAGGAAGTGTTGTGTATTAAACTAATGGAAATAAGTGTTAAGTGTTTTCCTTTTAAAACACGGAGACTATTTCACATTTTTTTGCCCCATAAAAGTGTTTAACAGGTCAAAAAAAGTTGTATCAAATTTACTTGTGATGCAAACGGATAACAAGTGAAGACCAATAAATGAAGATGTTTCTAGCACCTCTCGTATACTTTATTCAAATGGTTTATTTATAAGCAAGTTCTAGATCCAATATTATAGTTAAATTGAGAACCATAAAAGCTTAAGAAAAGGTGATTTTTTTTCCCAATTGACATTAAAGTACATCTCCTTTCTTACCTGTAAAACAACACAGCACTGAATAAAGTCATCAAAAGCAACTTGTCCTCTTCCTTGTCTGTCAAATTTCCGAATAAGGATATCATAGAACTGATCAGACAGTCGGTAACCTTGGAAAAAAGAAATGCTTTAAAAAGGTTTCAATTACCGCAGTCCTTCTATAAAAAGAACGAGGCTGTTTAGGAGGCATGTATAACAAAACCAGAAAACAGCAGTTACAAGAGAATTTTTTTGCGCCAAATATCGATGTGTGGAACTAAAATGCATGCAGTAAAAACCACACTTAATAATAGACAGAGTCACAGTAAACATAATTACTGATTAAAGTGACTAGTTGGTTGAGGGAACGGTTTAGGGCTGCAACTCAAGTTTTTGTAAGTGAAATCAATTAAATAAAAGTTCCTTTTGCTGTCAGAATGCTACTGTAGCGTAGAGAGCTGGCTTTGTTTTAAAAAGCAGCAAGCTGTATCAAGTACCTTTGTAAGTTCAGACATTTACCTGAAGTATTGGTAACGCTCTCAGAGCCGCTAACAGGGGAGACAGAAAACATTCCACACACGTACTGACACATCCCGTATAATTTTTTCCATGAAAGAAAATAGCTTAAAAAGCGCTTGCGGCCTGGATGTCTTTAGAGGTGCCTTACACCTAAAAGGATAACTGCCTTTCACCTGCCTCATTTTTAGCCACATTTGTCAGAGCAGTACAGCCCTAACAACAAGAAACTCATCTGATGACATAACCCAGTCATAAAAACTGAAATTACAAATGAATTACCAAAACCTGTTAGTGCTTGCTTTAGTTCATTTTTGTCAATCATTCCAGAATTGTCTCTGTCATACGTTCGAAAGACATTCTGCCAGTCTGAGATGTACTTCCAGACTCCTGTGAATTCATTGAAGTTCACACCACCTTTGTTTTCTCTGTCAAACATGCCTGGGGAAAAAAAAACCAAAACCAACCAAGTTATACATATAAAACCTTAATCATACTATTCTTCAGTAAGATCTGCTAGTATTTTAAGAAGGAAGCGAGCGCTTTGTGGAAAGTACAAAGATGGAAAAGAAATTGCAGAAATACAAGTGCTAATTTGTAAAGTACTGCCAAAAAAAGCAAGTAGCTGTCCACCGAAGGAGGATAAGATAAAGCAAGATAAAAGAGGACCAGAATGAATCACAGAATGTTTGTTTTTCCTGGGTTTTCTTTTCTGGTTTGAAAGTATTTGGGGCTTTATTGATCATCCGGTCACAAAAAGAGAGAGGGGGGGTTGTTCTTTTCTAAGGACTCATGAGAGGTCTACAACATCTGTTGTCTGCCCAAAGTGCTGGGATATTCATCTGCATTTGACTTGCTGATAGTGTCATTATACAAACAGCATGTTGCACAGCGATGGAACTCAGACTGCTGCTGAATACTTATTAAAAACAAAGCAAAAAATTTAGTCCTTGGATTTATGAACTGTATGATAGAAAAGATTGTTTGTGCTTGAATTTTCATCCTTCTGTTCTACCACCATCATCTTCCACATTACTGGCAATTATTTTAGAACTAAAGAATTCAAACATTGTAAAGCTTCTGTTTGGTCTTTTTGGAGCAGAACGTCAGATTAAAATGCAAGACAGGAAAAACTAGTTATGAAGACAAGCTATATAATATCTTTTTAGAATATTTAAACTGAGAATTTCCCCACACATATATTACATTTACTATCTATTCAGTTGTACAGTAACATTTTCTCAGACTAATTTGACAAGGGCATTCCCATATTATTCAAAAGGGAAAATATTTAACTTACTACTGCTGGGCTATCTGGCAGAAAAAAAAAAATAAAGACATACTGAAACATACCACCTAACAATGAAAGACCAGCTTGTTAACGCTACAGCCAAATTAGTTCAAGAGACCTTTAAACCGGCATTCATTATTACAGTAGGAAAAAATACTGTATATGTATTGTAATATCTGTACATACTTACTTCTCTAAAACAGCGCAGCAATTGATAGCATTCTCAATTGTCTGAACAGATCACAAAACAGTATCTTGACTATTTCACATCGCACGACTACACTTACCAAGAATTGACCTGACTGTTGCTGGATTAAATGGAGTCCATGTGCCTGAAACAGAAAGAATTACTTAGTTCCTCAATACTAAGTAACATTTTAAAAAAAATGCAACCAACCAACAAACCAACCAAAAAATCAGATAAGAAACAGTGAATTCAGAGCTAGATGACATGGAGCTAGCATATTACAAAATAAGGCTGCTTTGAAGCAATTATGTTCTTGACCATTCAGAGATGACTTCAGACCAATGCTTTACAGATACTACACACAAACCAGGCTGCACCAAAAAAAACCCCCAAAAAACCAAAACCTTGGAAGAACTAAGAAGGATTTTTTTCATCCCAGGTAGTCAGGAGGTATTGGATAAAAGGCAAGATCAAAACTGGAATCCCACTTTTTCTACTGATGGGAGCAGAAGAGTTTTAAGTTATAACTCGAACAAGGTCTCATATCTAGTCCTCAGTAAAAACCCCATCTGCTTATTTCCTATTTTACAGGTGGGTTACTCCAGGGCATTTAGTTTCTGACAGAAGTGAAAAGAAAAGGTTCCTAACATGGCATAACCACACAGGGCAATTCAGAGCTGAGTTTAGTATAAATCCCACCTCCACTACTAAATCAATCAATGAAGTGTTAGTTTAAATTAGTATTTTCAGACCAAGAAATGTTGCTGCTTGAAAGGGCCTGAGCAGTAATTATCTGCAGAAGAGCTTCGTACTTCTCTGAATATTTTGACAGGCTAGTCACTCTGGACTAGTTTTCACTCTGTTGGAAGCATTCTAGAGTGCTAGGAAGCATTAAGCTTTAAATTTAGAGAAATACTGTGCCTCGTCTAGAATTTCACCATCAATCCTCTAGTAAGCCTGTGAAGGTACCAGGAGGACGAAGAAGCACGTATTAAATTCACTGAGGCTGAGTGCAGGGACCACGAAGGAGCCAGTAAGACTAGGGGTACTGTAGAGGCATTTGCAACGATGCAGTTAGCTGACCACAAGTACCTAACAGAAAGGCTGCGTTGGTATTAAGCAGGCTTTGTGAAGGCATCGTTGCTTTGCCGGATCAAGCTGCAGTGATGTAAGTAGTGCTTATGGCAGGGCCGAATTTCTCCCACAGAAGGGAAACTCTATCAGTGTAAGTCTACAGATGCAGCAACAGGGAAAAACCCTATACTGTAGGCAGGCCATATGACTATTTGCACATAAAGAGAAACATCAGCAGAGAAAAGTAAAAAATCGCTCTGAAAATGCTTAAGCAGTATTTTAGACAGAGAACATCAGTACCTTAGAGTTGTATGTCTCCTGACAAAAATAAAAAATAATGGAATTATTAATAGGGTGCCAGCATTTAACTCTGAATAGAATAGAGGAAAAAGGGAAAACACAGTTTGGAATTTAACTTACTAAATGTTGAAAGTTTCAAGAGACTCATACAGATGAGAGTATAGTCAAGAGACTATATAGCGAAACCAGAGCAACTCCAGTGCTGAAGAACTGCACTGATTTCAGCCTATTCCAATAAACAGTAAGAGACCGTTCCCCTCCCCTGACTTTACTATTAACTTTATGTGGCAGCACAGAAAAAAACCCAACAAGGAAGCATAGGATTTTACTGTGCGAACAACTATACGAAGTGATGATCAGTCCCTCCCAGGTAAGTAGACAGTTATTTGCATAAACTTGACATGTTGAAAAGCTGAATGTCAAAAACACATTGAACTTCAAATTTTAATGAGCACTACGCAGACTTTTTTTAATGTTTTAGAAATAAACACATGACATTCTTTTAGCCCATGTTAGATTGCAGGACAGCTACACACAACCATCCACCAGAGGATCTATTTTGAAAATAATATAGTGAATTGTTAGTGACTTTGGTGTACAAGATCTAGAATCTCTCAGAATGAAGGAAGCTTACAGTTCTGTAAATATTTTGTCTAATAGTGAATTCACTTGGTGGGGATTCTTCATAACTGCAAAGCACTGAAACTGCTAATCTACACTGTAAATAAGGAAAGAAAAGAGTTCAGATAGGCGGTGATGACTATTACCCTTAAATTCAATCAGATGAGAAGATACTTAAAATATATGAAGTTTAAAATGGCAGGTAAAGCCAGGTCCCCACACTGTTATAAACAGCACTGTAATGTTAAATGAAAACAATTTTTTTTTAATCAATTTAACTTAGCTTTTGCGGAAGTTGTTATTCAAAATAGTATTTTAGTTACGGATCAGGTGCAGCAGCTACAATGTATTGCTTTTAATTTATCAGATATATTATTAAACAAATATTCTAGTAAATCCAGTTGTTATAAGACCACAATTTTACTATACAGAGCCATCCAAATTTATTTCAAGTCAGGTGATTACTGACAAAAAGTAGCCTTTCCGTCTGTGTGCACTGCAGCTCACAACATCAGTTTAAGCCCTTCTCAGTCACAAAGCACTAGAAGGATGAAGGAATTAAACCTTGGGAGAAGGGGAACTTGATATGGATGCAAAGGTGCATGAACAGCTTCAATATGCACTTTTTCAGGAGTTTTCAAAGGGGGGGCCCCCCCCCCCCCCAAAGTACAACCCTACCCACCCTAAGTCACCAGAGGAAAGTAAAAATAGGCTACTGGAAAAATTTTTTGTTTTTTACTTTGCTTCCATGAGATATTTGACCATACCCTAGTTACTTTTTAAGCATTATGACAGGGAACTGACAGACTGCTGGGAAGTTTTAATACTAGATCTAGAGTGCATCTTTCTACTTTGTTAGGAAAAAAACCCAAACATGCCTCATTTGGAAAAAAAAAAAAAATTACCATCTTCAATTCCTGCACCATACTGTATGAAAAGATTTTATGTGTAGTAAAAAGGCTGGTTGTAAACATCTGATCTTTGTCCAGGTTATACACTGATCCTGGTTAAAAAACAAAGGTTCAGTAGTGATGAGAGAGGAATATATAAATCACCATTTATGTTTTCTAGGAAGCAGAGGTGGAAAAAAAATAAAGGGATGTGCATGCCTTCATTCCCCAGAATACAAATCGGTAATGTTTACAGTAGGTACTCAGTTTATAATGCATTATTACTAACATGCACCAAACCCAGAAAACTTCCCTTGAAATAAAAAAAAAAACCCACAACCCAGGAATAGTGGGCTCAGAAAATCAATCAATAAAATAAAATAAAATCAGGAAGATTATCCACTTTTTTCCTCCCCTTCAGCCTCTTGCTGTAGATTAAATAGTATTAATCAGTGGTAGGAACATTCTCTCCCCCCACCCCAATCAAAGAATTATGGCATCAAGTAATGTTAATTTTAATGTGAGACTGGTTAAGTTAATGAACTTAATGAAGTTAATGAACTACCTCACTGCTCATTTACAGACTTACCATTGGATAATGCCTGCTGAAGTTCATTATCAGATATTATTCCACTCCTGTCTTTATCAACCCTGGAGGGGGGGGAAAAAAAAAAAAAGCAGTAAGCTTTAAATGGCTGAAATTAACAGGTTCCACTTAAAGAAGACTTCAATATTCTGGTTCTTACTCACCAGGTAAGATTAATCTTTTCCTGAAAAGTCACTAATTGCATTTTACTTGGTAAACCATTCACAGTTACTGCAAATTAAACGCTTCATTCAGACTGGTGAGACATTCTGGAACATGATAAAAGCTACAAAGAAAACTGCAAGACTTACTTGTGCGTGAAGAGGCACACAAAAACCACACACTGGCAATAAAACAGTTTGGGCATAATCCACACAAGAAAGTATTTTTATTTATTTATTTTTAAAAGGACTACAGAGCACACCATGCTGGTTAAAACCACAAAATGCCTAATGTCACAGTAGTAAGCTGTTTGGCTCCCAAACTGGAGCCCCAAGTTTGGCACCCAGTGCCACTCAGTAAGATGTTGGCAATGTAGAGAAACCCACTAATGTAACCAGTGCCAAGCACTGAAAGGATCGACTGCAGGGCCTTGACCCCTTTCAAAGGGGTTCAAAAAGTGAAAAAGCGCAGGCAGGTGCCAGCTTCCATTGAGTCTTCACAGTCTGTTGTCTTAGAGAAAGAAGTTCTATCCCAAAATTAATAAACTAAGTAATTTCTGCCCAAATAAAGCAGGATCATGCCTTCTTTAGAAGGATACCTGAAAGTGGTGGTGACTTCCCTCCATTTTATACAAGGATCTTCCCCTTGACACTGAGAGTTTTTACTTCCCCTCAGTTACTACCATTCCAAAGCAGAGTCCTGCTCAGCTGATCCCTCTGCAGAAGCTGTTTTTTTTCCTTTAGTCCTTGTTGTCTTTTTCTAAACCTTTTCAGTTCATTCTACAAGATTCCTTCCCCATCTCAAAAATTATATAAACCACATACAACATTCAAATTGCAAGCATAAGTTGCATAGATTATAATAACAAAAAGATATTCCCCTTTTTTATTCTCTATTTCTTTTCTAGGTATTCTGAACATTTTTTACCTTTTATGAGCTGCTATTAAGTGCTAAGCTGATGTTTTCATAAAAATGTGTTATGACCTACTTATCTTGCTCCTGAGCATCACCGGTCAGCTTAGAGCACATTCATTTTATATACAAAATGATGCAAAGTTAAAGCGGGTCTTCCCTGTGGACATCAGGTATCTACTCTGGATTTCATCTGACTATCATACAGCAGTCACGATCTGGCCATGACAGGGTGATATGACCCAATCATTCAGGGCTGTCAGGTGCTCCTGCAAATCTCCATAGGCCTCACTTACTGCAGGAATCAGTTAGCGTAACCAGCAAGTTTCACCTGACCATTCACCTTCTTTTCCTCTAGTTGCTCCTGAACATATTGAATAAAGATCCCAGAACAGCTCCATCTGTCAGCGTGGCAGCTAACCACACACACTCTTCTTTTTAGCCAGTTATTTATCCACTAAAGGACCCTCCCTTTCATTCTACGTATACTGGATTTCTTTAAAGGCCTTTGATACTTTTGTATGTTGAGAGCTTCTTTGGAAACTACACAGATTATATCAATTGCACTAGCTCTAGTCATCATATCATACCCAATCCTTATCAAACACATTCCAAGACTTACACAGTAGTCTGCCAGACAGGAATACTTTCAAACAAAAGCCATGCAACTCTCCTGACTAGCTACATTATTTAAAATGGTTTCTACTGGTTTGCCGGGTGCAGAAGTCAGACTGTTGATCTGTTTCTTTCTGGACCCTTTAAAAAAAGAAACGGCATCATGCATGCCTCCTCCAAGTTCTCTGATGAAGTGGTTTTACGGAAGGCTGGGTAAGTAAGCTGCCGCATTCCTGAGTCACTCCCGAGTTACTAAGGAAATACTAGCCAGTTTTAGCAACTTATTACTGTTTGCCTACTCCTTAACCTCTTCTTGCTGTCACTTGAGTCAAGATAGATCCTCTGACACATCTCCCATAAAAATGGATCCAATGTAGGAACCTCCCCAGTTTCCTCGACATGACACAAATGTGAAGAACTCCTTTAACTTCATTACTACTACGGTCTCGACAGCGTGCTTTTTTTAACATGGGCCTGCTAACTCTCTTGCAGGTTCCAGCTCCAGATGTACTCAAAACAATATTTCTTGTTAGTTTCTAAGTTTTCCATTAAGCATTTATCAGATTCCTTCCTGTACTGCTACATTTACCCTCCAGACTTTACAATCCTTTCTGGATTCTCAGGTCAAAAATGACTTCAGCGTTTTCAAGGTTACCTTCTCGCTTCCATTAACCCCCTTCCCTTGCTCTAAAGTACAGCCACATTTATTCCTCTTCAAGCCTTTCTTAAAGCTCCCCCTCGGATTCCTCCTACAGGGATATAACCCCGCCGTTTCCCCGCCCCGCAAGGCCACAAGGCGGCCAAATCCTGCGTTGGATGCCGAGGGCCGGTGACAGGCTCACCGTAGCAGCTGACCGTTTCCGGGCACCTCCCAACGCCCGCTCCCTCCCGGTACGCCCTCAGGGAGCGCCAGACCCGGGAGGGCCCGGGTCTGCCGGCCCCGCAGAACTCGGCAGCGCGGCCCGGCAGCGACGAAGGGTCGCGGCGGCCGC